TATACAGTAGAACTAAGGATATTATTCCTTTTAACTAATTTAACTAATATTATATATAAAATACAATGCGAGGATTGTGAAAATAAGGCATATTACGGACAAACCTCACAATGGTTTGAACATAGGAATACATCATAAACAAAATTGCAGGTCTAAAATGACAAAATCAAAATTAGCCACAGGATTATCACAGCATACCACAAAAAATGGAAACAAATTTGATTTCGGTACAGCATCGGTCTTATATAGAGAACAAAATATTAACAAAAGAAGAATAATGGAATCAATATTTATTACTAAAAACCTCAAACAATCGGTAAACCAACAAACAGATGTGGATAATCTAAATACATTTTATGCTAGCTTAATAGATAAAATTAAAATATAATATGCTCAAATATAACAGATAAAACAGCGGATCTCTAACCCTTTCACCCCACTCCGTTTTAAAATAAATCTAGTCCTGTATTAATGCATTAGTGAGGAGGAACACTTTTAATATCATCTACGAAAGAGGTACATAAATTGAGAACATATAATATTCTTTTTGTTTTGTTTTGTTTTCTTTAAAATTTTTACATTCTATTTTAATTATTTGTTTATTTATTATAACTTTTAGAAGTGAAAAAATGACATTCGATGAAATAAAGGAATGACAAACGGACGAATTATGTTATAATGATACATTTTAGGAAATTTTATGAAGCGGTATATGGTAGGTGGATGATAAATTTTACATTAATTTTTAACCAAAATACCATATTATAAAAATAAATTTTATGAAATAGAATTTGGACTGATCGTTATTGGATTAATATGTGTTTTATATGATGTAGTTTGAAGTATAACAGCTGAATTAAAATTAGTTTGCAGGATCTTGAAAATGGTTCCTGAAGCCGAAACGTCGAATAAATAATTCATGATGTAAAAACTGTGGTGGGTGACCTTTGGCCTAATATTTTATGAAAAACTTTACAAAAATGGCATCGAACCTAAAAAATATGACTAGAAAATGATTGATATATGACAAAATAAGCATGTTATCTATTAATTAAAAAAAATATTTTAAACTATGATTAGCACATCCTCTGATTTTTTATTTATTACAGATAAATAGTTCTTGATAAGTTGTATTCAATTTAAACAAACAAAAAGTCTTTATCATCCAAGAAATTATATTATATTCTAAATAGAACATACCGTTGTGCATTGATTATTAACATGTATCATTACTGCCCTTTAATTGCTACAGTACTACTACTTTGTTGTCATATTACTCTCATTTTGTGACATTTCACTTTAGTGGGTGCTCGGTGTTGTAAAGCATTGGATTCAGTATATTCTATGAATGGGGTATATGAAGTATTTTATTCAAGAAATTGTATTTCGTTGAAATGTATTTTATTTTCTAATTATCTTCAACACACTCCTCATTATGTGTACATATATGTATACTTTATTTTATTTTTTCTTCTTCTAATCTTTACGCATAATCACTTAAATATCTTAGGGAACATATGTATATCATTTTTTTTGTTTTTGTTTTTACAATTTCTTTCCTTACATATTAACAGTTATTATTATTTTTTAATTTTTATATTCCATCACTATAATGCTTTGTCTATAAAATTGATTTTGCGTTCCTTTCTAATTTCATTCAGTGATTATTATGCTATTGTTTTAGCTCCAATATTGTAGTACTGAACCCCTATCACCCAACTGTTCTCGTTAATTTATCCTAAGAGCTTAATTAATACTTAATTTATTACTAGCATTTTGTTATTATTCAGTGTAATAAGTCTTTTGGCCAGATTTATGGTTAATTTATATGAACAATACTGTTGTTCTAAAGGGACCTAGTCCCAGAAGAAAGATGATTTTTCTATTTTCTATTTCTATTTCTATATGCATATATCACTGATTTTAACTAACAACTTTTGGACGATAGATTTGCTTTTTACTCAGATAATTAATATTTTCTATGTTGAATGTGAATCCGTTTGCTAGATATCTTTTTATAAGCTGATAAACTACTTAACTAAGCTAAAGTCACAATATAGCCTTCATGACGCAACATCTTCCTGCCACCACAGACCTACTGTTACCTTTTTGTGAGCTACAATATTATTAATGATTTTCTTTATTATAAATTTCATTTAAGTCACGTAACATTTTGTACTGGCCAATTTGTCCAATTTGCGAACTGTTATTTATAGAGCATTGTATAGGGTGAGAATTTCTGGAAAATCATGATTCCTCCCCTTATTGGTGAAATAAGATGCTACAGATAATAGTTATGTACTTATTATATAAGCATCATTCTCTTATAACATGAGCACTATAATGTGGATCCTACACGGTCATTCGGAATAGCATTCTGTGGCAATATTGACGTTCCGAATGATCGTGTAAGGTACTGATTGATTACTGATGGACGTGTCTGGCGGAATTACGAAAATCCGGAAATCAAAGGTTCAATCACGAGAAGTAGAGGGAAGACTGAGGTAAAAATGGTGGAGAGACTAACCTTACTATTAGTTAGTTTAGTTTACCTAGACCTCACAACCATTGTAAATTCCTGATTTTCATTAAAAGTAAATAGTTTTTCATATCCCTGGTTCATGTTTTATAAACCATTTTCAACTAATTTGTTTTAAATAGTCAAGCAGGCAATAAATAAATAAAAAAGAAGTGAAAACTTCACAATTTATTTATAGAAAAAAACAACTAATTTTTACTATTGTGTAAATTTGTCAGTTGTTTTCCCATTTTTCTCAACAAATTTATTATTCTTGCAATACGTTTCCTTAATTTTTGTAAGTAGTAGACTTATATTTGTCTAACTTTTGTCAAAACGGTTTTCAGGCACTAGGAAGTAATTATTATAACTCCATTTTCCTCTTGATTTCTAATGCTATAAAGGATAATGTCCAAATAAGCTTCTTAAATTAAAAACATTATTATAAGTGGACAATGCACCAGATCCATGCTGCCTGTTATCTCTATGTCATCTTTTCTCTAAGCATATTATTATTATTATAGTTCTTTCTTACTTTTAAGACTTATAAAAAGTAATCGCTAATGAAAATGTACTATGCTATTGTATGCATTGACTTCTTAAATATTAACCATAAGAAAATAATAATAATTCAAATTACTTCATTTTTTTCAAATATCATATGGAATATGTCTTTATTTCTACATTAGTCTATACCAGCTTTTCTCTGAACTACAGTCTGCGGGACTCTAAACTACTGCAAGCGCCTCTAATTCGTTCCGCGGAAGTATCTTTGATTACTTATTAACATTTTAAAAACTATTAAATAAAAAGTATGAAATTTAGTTAATCACTCAAACACGAGCTTACCATAACATTTATTGCATGAATTGTTTCTTTTAGCCTATTTCACAATTGAAGTGTCAATTATAGAACATAAATTTGTTGTATCATTACAAGTCCTGCAGCCCATGCCACTTAGTGAAGGGCGGCCTCTATGCGGCCTGCGGGACTTAAAAGAGGTCTCAATGAGGCCCACAGTCCAAAAAGTTTGGAGACCCGTGGTTCATACCATGGGGGGAAAGACAGAGAGAGGAGCGGGCAGGATGACTGAGCAGGCTAACGCGTGTGTAAAATATGCATTGCACGCCAACTAGATATATTTATTTTAACAAGAGTTTACCAGATATAAAATAATTACGAGTTTGCGGTCGTGGAAGGATGCTTTTAACTCGGGCAATAACCACTCCCCCATCCACTAGATTTTACACTCTAGTGAAGCATACTAGGTGCAAACCAATCTCTGAAAGGAGTGATTGACTTCATATTGTTCTTAGTCGTCAACCACAAAGTTCTTATTTGTAAGTGTGATGTTACCACTTTGAAAATTAATATCTTTTGAATCAATATTCTAGTTTTATAATACATGTTGAATAATAAAAGTAGAATAAATAACATGTGTATACTTCATTATAAAATAAAGTTCTCAATGAAGATGTACAAATATAGCACATCTTCATTACTTGACAGCCAATATTGTAGTAATTTTTAATACTGGCCTTCAAGTTTCTTAAAAAAATAGTTTTTTTCAAGTACCATTCACATCTCTGATCTTTTCTTATTAAACTGGTTAGATGTATGATGAATTTCTTGGAAAATATTTATTCCAAAATGTTTTTCACAACACATATTCATTTTACTGAATCTGTGTATTCATTGTTCTTGAAGCTTTGGAGCGACCTGTTGTGGTATAATGATGTTGGTTATATGAGCATTTGGACAGGATAGTTTTAGTAAATATTAGTCTTGTAATATTTTATTTAGTATTGCTAGTATCATCCAATTAAAATTTTATTTAAATTTCCTCTTCAACATTTTTTTTAATTAATCTTATTTTCTTGTTATATTATGGTTCAATATTGTATTTATGATTGGATGCTTAATGGAATATTATAAGATGTTCTATTAAGCTGATTAAGATAATACCACACAACATTTGAGTTTGTATCAGAACACTTGACTAAATGTGAATTGGTCTAATGAATTATAATTGTATTTGATTCAACAGAAATAACTTTTTTTTTTTGTGTTCTTCCCTACCTCGCCTTTTAGGCTATACGGGCACCCGTACGCGAACTCGTACTTTTTAAATCTTCTCAAATCTGTAATCCGGTTGCCAGGCAACTTGCGATGCTGTGCACACGCTTTAGCCCATTCGGCCACCCCGTCCTCTCAACAGAAATAACTGTTTTGCTAAGTTAATCACTTATACTTTGACATTTTTGTAGAGTGTTGGCAATTTTTTCGGACCTATTTCTTGTTCTATTGTCCCCTAATACATACAATTTTACTTAATTATTAAAATAATGTGTATTTTTATTTAAAAGAAGCTAAGTCAAACATTGGAAATAAACTCAGGATACTATTTGCTATTGAGGAGTTAAAATTTTTCAAAGTTAATTTCTTTCCCATTCGCTTTAGGAGAGAGTTGAGAAGAAAGAAGATGGCAGCCACAACGAGCACAGAAGGCTGCGAATTGGAGGGAGATAAGACTGATTGCGGTGGTGGTCTGGCAGAGGGTGGATTGTCTCCACCAGATCAGGTGTCCCCTGCGGAAGAAGGCCTGCCTATCACCACCGCTCCTGCGGACTTTGTTTCTCCCTTTGTTTCCCCTGTGGTGGCAAACTGTAATTCCACCAATTATCAATGTAGAACTCCTTATGTAAGTGTATAAATACAATATATAATATTTTATTATTATTACACTATATAATACAGAGTAAATCATAGTTTACCAAGGTTTTTTAAATAATTATTTTCTGTTGTATTCAGTTTAAGTAAGTTAGTTATAATGCGTTTTTTTCCTGATTCACATTCGTTTCTAACATCCTTCGAAACTCACAAATACGAATTTGTTATTTTAAGCTGTGTGCTAACAACTACTTCACAATGTGCACAATGCTTGGGAGCTGATTGTAGTATACTTAATTCATTTTTCGATCTACTAACTTATATATTCTCTGACAACAGAATTATTACTTATAAAGTTGTTAAATCTGGTAGCTGTTGATATTGTTGGCAAGAGCAATAATTCAGTTTCCAAATGGTTGTAGCAACATCAAACAATGAGAAAATGAAAAATGAGTTATTAATGCTTTAATAAATGGCATACCCAGTCTGCAGGTGTTCCTCAAGGTAGTATCCTAGGTCCTATCCTTTACACAGTTTATACAGCTGGCATCCCAACCCATCCCAACACTGTCATCACCACATATGCTGATGACACATGTATCCTATCAGTCAATAACGACCCATCTATTACATCCCAAACCCTTCAATCCCACATCACAAACCTTGAAGAATGGTGTCAGAACTGGAGAGTTAAAATAAATTCCAATAAATCCCATCAAATTACCTTCACCCTTCGTCGTAAACCAATGACTTCCTGTCCTTCAGTATCCTTTAACAACACCTCACTTATTCCTGTTGAACAAATCCGTTACCTAGGACTCCATCTGGACAAACGTCTAACTTGGAATCCTCATACCAGACTGAAACAACAAGAAACCGCACGACATTTCCGACTACTTCAACACTTACTAGACAAACGCTCTAACCTTCCAATCAATTATAAAAGACTGATTTACATGACTATAATAAGGCCTATTTGGACTTACGGGGTTGAGCTATGGGGCTCCACCAAGCCTTCAAATTTCTCTCGCATACAGTCCTTGCAATACAAAATCCATCGTAAAATCCTCAATGCTCCTTACTTTGTTACAAATAAAATTATCCATAATGACCTTAATGTTCCTTATGTATCAGATTTGGCCCAATCCAGATATCTGTCCTTCCATAATAAACTTCATAACCATCCCAACCCTCTTGTCTCTAACCTTGCTTCCTATTCGATTCCTGATAACCCTCCGAGGCGTCTGAAAAGAAGATGGCCACGTGATCTTCTAATATAGACATATTATTAGAGTGCTACCAATGGGTAGTTTCTCAACATGTGTTCCATGTCTTTATACCAATGTGCAAATTTACTAGATGTATTTTTTTGTATACAGTTGTAAATATCATTTAAAATAAATAAATAAAAAATAAAAAAAATAAATGGCATTAAAAATATCTTCCTAAAAATCAAGTCAAAAAATTTAAAATTTTCAAAAACGAACCTGAATTGGTTTTTTCATGACAAAAATTTACTTGTCCTACTTTACTAGAAGCGACATTCGGTTTTTGTAATTTATTATACATTTGAATGCTTATAATACAATCAGCAATATGTTTTTTTTATTTTACAAACAAAATCGTTTGATATATTATAACTTATAAAGCCATGCAGAGCAAAGGCAGGAAACTGTAATATAAAAAAATTTTGAATTTTATAAAATTTTTTTTTTTAGTTCATCGGCTACAACCATTGGTCATGAGTATAATATTTTTTGACTTAATATCACCAAAAAAAAAATTCATTGAAATTGGTGACCCCATGTTATTGGCCTCCCCTTGTTAGAACAAATAGCAATGTGTTGTTAGTTTTTTCTGAACATTCTTATGTTTTGTCCATTAAAAAGTTATTTGAACTTATTGTTAGCCTGTACATATTTTAATAACATTTTATAATTACATTATAAGAAGTTATTATTTTCAATCTAATATTACATAAATGTCGACTAATCAATTCAATTCAAACTAATTTTTGTTTCAGCGAAAAAGGAAAAGCGAAAGTTCACTTGATCTACGCAGCCAGCTACCTTGCAAGAAACTCTTTCCTGAAGACAGTCCTATCAAGTGAGTTAGTTTAAAAAAATTAACAAAAGTTTCATAATGCTGTTATTGAATTACCATTATTTCATTTAAACTATTGTTTTTATAAAAAATAATTTAGATTGCTATACCAGTAACATAAGTTTTATACAAAAAATACATAAGTTATACAGTCCTATCAAGTGAGTTAGTTTAAAAAAGTTAACAAAAGTTTCATAATGCTGTTATTGAATTACCATTATTTCATTTAAACTATTGTTTTTATAAAAAATAATTTAGATTGCTATTCCAGCAACATAAGTTTTATGCAAAAAATACATAAGTTATGAAGGAACACTTTTTTTACGACTATTCACAAATATAACTTTCAAATATATGAGTGATTATCAGTCTCCTGAAGTCTTGGTACTATTTGATCATATCATCAGCAACCCTAAAGGTATGGAATCAAATTTTTGTGACCGCAGAGGATTTTTTTTCCTGAAATGATGATCACTCAAACTTGTTACTATAACATAGTAGCTAATTTATTAAAGATATTGTGGACGGATCTAGAAAATTTAAATGAAGTTTTTGAGAGATCGTGTTAGACTGTTCACATTATACAAAAATATGACAATGATCATGGCAATAACTAAACTAATCTCTATGATGTTTTATATAATAATTAAAATTTTTAGCATCTTTCCCAATTTTAAAATGTATAAAATATATTTACTGTTTTCTTTTATTAAACTTAAATCTAATGTTATCTTTGATTACTTTTTATTTTTTAAAAGTTTTAATGTATGATCATACTTCAGTTCTTGCTGCAAACTCTTTACTTTTTCTTTCCAGTAATTTCATATGGCTTCCATATCTGGATTACTTTGTTCATGAAGCAAAATTTCGAAAACTGGAACATTATTACAAGATAAACTATGTACCAGGATACATAGAAAAGTAAATAATTATAATTGAGATTTTAATCTCCAGATTTTATGTCTTTAAACTTAATTATTTTATGTTTAGTAATCTTTAATTATAATCAGATAGTTAAGAATTAATAGTTTTCTTTTTTTTCGTTTTAATAATAAAGTTTAAACCCGTATTTTTTCATATATAACTTATTGGAGGGAAGCTAACAAAATTTAATATTTGAAGATGAAAAATAAAAAATTGAAAATAAATTTATATATAATATATATATATTGTTAGGTTACGTTTTCTCAAATTCCCATGTTGGGCACCATGTTGTTAGGTTTCGTTTCCGTTGAAAAGTAAACAAAACAGTTTCTGAATCATTTTATATTTATTTTAAACAATAATTATTTCTCAGGTTGGGTTGAGACAATAAACACACATTCCTCACTTATAAATATAAAATCATACATTTTACATAATATTTATGAATTTCCATTCTTTTGTCGGGTTCTAATTACTAAATATATAGATAGAGAGATGGAAAATAACTTTATTCTGGGACAAAGTCCCTTGAGAATAACAGAATAGTACAAAACGATAAGATTACATCTGGCTGAAATAAAAACAATAAATAAAAATAAAAAAATAAAAAGGAAGAAAAAAGTAAAGAAAAAAATAGGTAAACATGCTATATAAAAAATAAATAAGAAATATATACAAAACACTTAAAACTATGTCACGACACTTAAAACTATGTACAGTGGTAAAACAGTATAAATATATACATCTATAAAAAAAAACATTAAATTTTTTTTTTAAATAAAAATAATAGTAATAAATAAACAATAGATGCATTCAGTGGTATCGAGAGTAGGAATATCTAGTAATATTCCTAGCAAAGAACAGCACTAACATTTGATGATGAATGGCATGAAATAAATTTATAATGTTAAAAGATTTGCAAGTATATGACTGTTTTTGGGAGAGGAATTGAAATAGAAGGGTTTTGGATGTGGATATGGAGGGAGAAGAATGCTGAATTCCTGTTGGGAGGGAATTCCAGAAATTGACAGAGTGAGCAATAAAGGAGTTTTGTAATGAGACAGATCTGTGAGAAGGAATGTAAAGGTCTAGATCTTTTGGAAATGGAATGGATTGAGGACTTGAATCCGAGAAAATTGTAGGCGTAAGAAGGACGATAATTGTTGATGATTTGTTGACAGAGGAATGCTCTTAAAAAATGTTGTCTTCTGAAGAAGGGGAAGAACCACCTTAATTCAGTGTAGTAGTGAGAGAAACAGGAATGTCTTGGGGTCCCAATTACAAATCTTGTGCAGGTGTTCATTAGTCTTATCAGTTTATCTTGGAGCTCCACCAAGAGGACGTCGTACATCATACTGCTGTCAAACTGGGGAAAGATGAGAGAGGAAACTAGTAGTCTTATGCATATGTTGAGGTAGTAGATGGCGGAAGTGATGGAATAGTTTGAGGGTAGAAATTGCCTGTCACGAGATGTGAAAAATATGGTGATTCCAGGAGAGGGTTTGATCAATGAAAAAGCCTACATTTTTAACAGAGCAGTAGAAGGTGATTAATTTGTAGTATGGAAATATGTTTGAACCTTGGGCAACTCCAGAGGATAAAGAAGGCAGATAGTGTGATTGGGTATGTAAACTACTTGGATTCGTTGTAAAAGTAAAGATTGGATCCAAGAGATGGAACTATTGGAGAAGGATAATGATTTTAGTTTGTTGAAAAGGATGGTATGGTAAATAGAAATGGAGTTAATGGATCAAGTTTATTGAAGTTTTCAAGAAAGTTTTGAGAGATTAGATAGAATTGAGATTGAGTAGAAATCTTTGGGAGGGGATGGATTTGACGTTTTATTTAAAGAAAGAACATTGTTTTTTTCCCAAGGGGTATAGAATACTGAATTCTGTATTGTCTTAATTGTTGATAAAAAGTAGAACTGGAAGGTTTTCTGAGAAACTAATTTTATTAATTTGAGACGGATGCCATCTGATCCTATGGAATTGGTGTGGTATTTCGTTTCAATGGTTAAAAGGTCTGTTGGGAAATGTCGAAAAAATAAAAGTTATTGCCATTAAATGATATCTCTAGAAAAAAGAAGGAAGAGGAGAGTAGAGAAGAGGTATTAGCAACAGATATAATATGCGAGTTTATATCGTCAGAGGATACTGGAGAGGCTAAGGGAGGGCATCTGGAAATTCTTCTCACAAAGGGGAAGTTTATGAAGCAGTAGCCATTATGATTTGATATCAGGAGCTGAGGAGAGGGCTTCATGGAAGTAGGTATAAATTGGGGTAATGTTGTTATTACTTTAATTTGTTTGCTAACCCAGATAAATTGAGTTTAAGGAATCATATTATACGTTCCCTTTTGCAAAATATGAAAGGAAATAAAATACTTTAATTGAGCATAGTACAAATATGGCTTCTATTAAAGTACCTTATTTTGTTATAAATATACCGGAAGGACTAATATTACCAAAAATATTGTCATTTTTTGAATGACTTACTGAATTTTCTGTTCTATCATTTGTTTACTGATTGCATTATACTTTACTTTATTGTCTTTTATATAGTTTTTTTAACTTGTCAAGTTTTTGAGAATTAGTATGTTATTTGTTGATTAATTGTAATTATAATAATGAATCATAATCAGCCTATTTTACTTCCTTGTTATTAAAATAATCAAATAAAAAATTCCTATTTTTTAAAGTATTTGGTTTTTATAAATTTATTTATTGTATTTAAACCTCTGGTCTATCTCCTCTGTATCTATTTCTAATTCATTTAGTTAGTTAACAAATTATGAAACATGCTTATTGATGTAATTTATAATTACAGAAAACATTTAACTTTTGTTTCCAGTAATTATTTATGGCTCCCTAATTTGAGTTGCTTTAGAAGAGCTGGAACTCTTGTGGGAATGCTGGGACATAATTACATTTACAGAAACTGGGTATCAGAAAATATGAAAAAGTATAAACCTTCATCTTAAGTTTGTAATATTCATGTTAATAATTAACACATTGTTACCCAACTAATTATTGTAGCTATTTTTATTTTAACTGATTATTAATGGGATGGTATCGCTACGCCCCTAGTCATGCTAAGTATTGTAACACAAAAATCATAAAGTAGTGTTGGAGATTATTGCTCCAGTCATTTCAGTTGAATAAAGGCAAGTAGTAATACTTTTTACTTATTTAAAAATTGTCTTGATACATGATTTAGTGGAGCTAAACACTTGTTGAATTATAGCTGGGTAAATTTCAGGTGATTGCCATTCAGTTTTGAAATGACTTGATGGATTCAACGTTAGCAATCTTAGTTCCATTCTCAATTTGTTGAAGTTTTTGTCAAGCTGACGGACCCAATGTTCATTTACCCAATGTGAAGGGGTATCCAAATTTATTTTAAAAGTCTTATAACAAGGATGTAAAACTTGTAGGAATTGAACGAATAATTAAGTATGATTGCCATTATTTTCCCTTAATTGGGATTGTTCGATTATAAAGTATTTTGATTTTTTTTTCTGGTTTAGTGGTTTGATTTTTTTTTTGTTTTTAATAATTCACCAATGGTATCAAATTTAGTTTTTATCAGTCTATTTTTGGTTAACTTGTGCAGATTTTATTAATTTCTTTAAATGTATTAAGAATTTTAAATTGACTTGTTAAATAAGTGTTAGTATTTATATATTTCTTCTTTTGTAGTAATTGCAATGGAAAGAAAAAACAACAAGAACCTCCTCCAAATGACAAACAGAAGCAGCAGAGGGTACCATCTGTTTCATCATCGAAAGACATCCCTCCACCTGAGATGTCAGAATGGCTCTCTCAGTTTCAGGTATTTTTTCATATTCAATATTATGAAACTTCTCTTTTAACACCTGTCTGAAATTATAGTACCATTCTCTTAATGAGAAGTTTTATTGTTGACAGTTACATATTGATTCAGTTCGTTTAAATTTCTTTCATTTTATTTTGTATACATTCAATGAATTTTATTCCTGTAATGTTTTCATGCTGATAAAGTGGTTGCTTACATTACAAATATGCTGTTCTGCCTTATTCATTCTCTGGTTCAAAAAGCCAGTCACCAAAAACTTGAAATTGAAAAATTAATTTTAACTAACATAGCCTTGTTATATTTGTTCCTAATTTACATTCTTTGATTCCTACCTCCTAAATGGAAAAAGAAAAACATGATGATCTTTGTAAATGTCTGAATATATTGCTCTTGTTGAAGACCTTGAGAAGAACCAATTGAAGTACCAATGGGAGTGAGATTCTATGACTCTCCAAACATATCTTACTTATACTTAAGTGTCCATTATATTTTTTTCTGTAATATTTATGATAATAAATACTTTCATTTCTATAGAAGTGGACAAATGCTGAAAGAATTATCGCCATCAATAGGCTAGTAGAGTCGTGTGAACCGTCACAAGTGAGACACATGATGCAGCTAATAGAACCCCAATTCCAAAGGGACTTTATTTCCCTTTTACCTAAAGAAGTAAGTATAAGTCAACTATTTGTTATTAAACTATAAACTGTCTTATAGATCAATAGTTTGTGTCATTAATAAGGTTTGTGAAAAATTATTACGGTATTTTTATTATTGGATTTGTAAAACCTTTAGATTTGTGAAAATCATATTACTGGTATTTGCATCTTTTTTTTTTCAGTAATACTTTATTCTGACATTATTTTTATAGCTGGCATTGCTGGTTCTTTCTTTTCTTGAGCCAAAGGATCTTCTTCGAGCCGCGCAAACTTGTAGGAATTGGAGGTTTCTAGCTGAAGACAACTTGCTATGGAGAGAAAAGTGTAGGCAAGCCGGTATTACTAGGGAGTCTCCCTCTCATAGTAACCGAAGGGTTCGACATCGGTCTCCCTCTACACCTGCATCTCCATGGAAGGTAGTTATTTAATCTGTTTTTCTTGATGTTCATAGAGGGATTTTTTTTTTAGTGCCAAGATTCTTATGTTAATGTGATAACTTTTTGTTTATTTTTTTTTAGGCAGCATTTATGAGGCAGCATAGAATTGAAATGAACTGGAGGGTAAAACCTATTAGGCCTCCAAAGGTGCTTAAGGGACATGATGACCATGTGATAACGTGCCTTCAGTTCTCCGGGAGTAGGATTGTGAGTGGTTCTGATGATAACACCTTAAAGGTCTGGTCAGCCACAACTGGAAAGGTGAATTTGAAGTATAGCCAGATAATAGGTTCAGATATTGTTAGATTTATGGCAAAGTAGCGAAACTGAAAATCATTGAGATTTAGAACTTAACAGAAAGCCCAGAGTGTGTAACATCCCATGTAAAATTGTCAATTGGTTTTCATTCTCTGGTGATAATAATGTCAGCAATTTTTGTTGATTGAAAATTATTTAATCTGCTTTTATGGAAAAACTGACCAAAAATAAATGTTTTTTATTTATTTCCCTCTCCTTTTCTTGTCTTTCGACACTACGGGATTCCATTTTATTGTATATACAATTTATTTTATGTCTTTTCCTCTTTGATTTATATACTGGAGTCACCCCGGATTGAGATTGTCTTTTTAGTCCCATATTGAAATGGGCTGTACCGAATACTACAAATGCCTCGTAATAAGGGTAGTTATCTGCAGCGACAAGTAGAGGTAAATCTTCTTCGTTGAGGCTGTAGATATCTGTGTTCCTCATTAGCTTGCCCCTCGGTTCCTCAAATGCAGTACAGTTGGTGATCACAAGTTCGGCAGTTTCCGGGACATTACAACTGGAGCATAGGGGATTGATATCTTTTCCAAGACTATGTAACTTGGCACGAAAATCCCCATATCCAGAGAGGAATTGAAAGCCCCTATTGTCTGCTAATCAGAACCGGACGGTGCAAAAATACTTCCTTAGAGAAAATACTTCCGCTTATTCCACTCTTCGTCGGTAGCTTCTCTCAATGTTGATTTCCATCTATTGGACGGTTTCTCAATTCTCACTTGAAGATCTTCCGGAATCCTTGCCAATCTCTTTTGTAGGCATATTTAATCAAATCTTCTTACAGGAGAAGATTGAGAGATATCTCCCCTGCTAAGATCTGCACTGCCTCGTGAGTCACTATCTTACATGCTCTGGTAGCCCGCAGCAGAGCTGTCCTCTGGATAGATGCTAACTTGCTCTTCTTTTGGTTGGGAAGGTTTAGGTATCATGAGGGAGATGCATACCTTAATATACCCAGCACCACTCCTTTGTAGATAACCTTGGTAGCTGGGTATGTAAGGCCCCAGAAAGATCCACCAACACGACTGAGACCATTTAGTGCGAATGTCACTCTGCTTGTTAAGTAGTCCAAGGGAGGCGTTGTATTAAACTTTCTTCTAAATCATAGGCCGAGGTAGGTTACCACTTTACTTGGACAAACGTTTCTCTCTGCATCTTCAAGACAATAGGATGTTCCCTCTCAGTCATGCCCCTTAATAGGATTGCTTGGGTTTTGGCAGCAGCCATCCTCATTCTCCTACTCGCACCCCAGTTACCTATCAAGTTAATGCATTTTTCTGCCTCCACTATGACTCCTGCTTTGCTATCAGATGCCACCATAGCTGCCAAGTCGTCAACAAGGGAACTGCTGCTCTTCCAATACTTCTGTACTTACAGTACAATGTAGATCCCAGATATCCCATGGTGGGCACAAGTCCATGCCAGGTGAGCACATCGTACACACAATAATAAATATAATGATGTAGAGATGGTTGATCGTTGATATAATATGAGAAGGAGTTAATCGGAGGGTGAGGTCAAATAAATACCGCACTTTATTATTATTAGTAATTATTTTAATTTAAAATAATTACTATATTTTAATTTAGTATTTATTTGACCGCACCCCCCGATTAACTCCTTCTCAATAAATATTATAGATGGAATCTTCAACATTAGGTAAGATTCAAATAGATGACTCTAATAAACAATTTACAATCAGTGGATTAAAGTGACTTTTTATTCTCCTGTAAAGTTATTTAGCACTTTCGCTAGTTTGCCATACATTTGACTATTTGTTATCAATAATAACAAGTTTTAACATTGCATTTCACTAATAATTTTTATTTTGGCTTTTTAAGTATTCATATGTAAATATGTATTCAAAGTAAGAATTGTATACATTTTAAGAAAACTTTAATGCTATCTTATATTATATAGCCAAATCAATTATTAAATAGTTTGATATTCAATTCTAGAGTAAAAGGTGTTTCATGAAAATCTATTGATACTCAAGTTTATATTGAAAATTGCTGACAAAGTCTGTAGCTAACAATTGTTTTGATATAATAGTGTTTACGGACTTTGGTGGGGCATACTGGAGGTGTTTGGTCATCACAAATGTCAGGCAGTACTATTATCAGTGGAAGCACAGATAGAACCCTGAAGGTGTGGAATGCAGAGACTGGTCAATGTATCCATACTTTGTATGGTCATACTTCAACTGTTAGGTGTATGCATTTACATGAAAAAAAGTGAGTTATTTTTTTATTGTAAATATCAATCAAATGTAATTGATTCATTGGAATATCCAGTTATTTTTCCATTTCATTTAAGCTCTCATAGTTTAGATGAATGGCTGCCACTGCCATTATTTCTTTTCTTTTTTTCTATGTATTTAAAAAAAAAAACTAAGTTAAAACTAACTAAGTAAGTTTTTTTTTTATCAGAGAAGTATGGAGGTTATTCTATAAAAATTATCAATTATTGTGGGTTTCATAATAGTGGATTGATGGTTGATTGTAGTGAATAATTGAAGAGAAGTAGGTTGGGATGTTCAGTAAAAAATAAATAGTTTAAATAAATATGATATTTATTTTTATTTTTGCCAATGTTTCGGCCCTAAGTTCAGGCCTTCATCAGGGCTAAGAAAATACCAGATAACAATAGGTGCGACCTATTGTTATCTGGTCTTTTCTGATTACAGTGAAGTGTGCACATTCCTTTATTTTTACCAGACTATTAAAGAACTATGATGTTCTAAACCCAAGTGAAACGGCCTGGTGGAGGAAGTATGGGGAAGAAGAGGAGGCCAAGACAATCAAAATAATTTTTAAACACAAAGTGTGAGTCCACATGCAGCATGATATAATTTTTGACTGAAGGAGAATTATTTAATTTTCAATCCTATCATGCATAACTCCAAAATTTTACATTATTTCTTTTCTTTCATTTTATTTCATTAGCAATTTTACGTTTATTTCTAAAATTAATCAACTGCACAAATTTTAGTTTATTTTCACTATTTTTGATATAATCTTTTGTTGTTTCACAAATGTTTAATTTCAGTGTTCCAACCCTTATACAGTCCCCACCAATTGAAACATGACCCAAACGAAAATCACACTTTTGAGATCAATGTGTAATATTTGGCTCACACCAAATTACTGTGATTATACACTACTTTTAAATGAAATTGTAAATGCAAAATAAACAAAACATGTCAGTGTGGCTATAAATTAAGTTGAATATTTACACTGTGATAGATAATTAAAAACAAAAATACAAGAGAAAAAAAAAAAGTTACCTACATAGGTACAGTAGAGTCCCAATAATTTGTATTATCCAGGGATATAAAAATTAAAAAGATCTATGAATTATTTGGGGATTAAAAATAAAAAAAATATGAAATAACAAAATTAATACAACAATTTATTAATATAAATGTTAAAAGGATGTAGGTAGAAAAATCAAACATTGCAATTTAATTTTTGTAAAATTAATATTAATATTATACTATAGGGTCGTATCAGGTTCAAGGGATGCAACATTAAGGCTATGGGATGTCGACAGTGGAGAGTGTCTGCATGTTCTTGTTGGCCATCTCGCAGCTGTCCGCTGTGTCCAGTACAATGGGAAACTTGTTGTCTCTGGTGCTTATGACTACATGGTCAAAGTTTGGGACCCAGAACGGGAGGAATGCCTCCACACTCTCCAGGGACACACTAATAGGGTTTACTCACTGCAGGTAAGAGAATTTTTACTTTGGCGACACAATGTCTTAGTGTATAATGATATCTGGCACTGGTGGACGCAATAGATACTAGCACTTAAAAAATATTGAGGTGCAAAGGTTAGTGTAATGTGATAATGTTCAATACATGGTTGATGAAGGGGAGATTAAGTGCTTTCCATAAAGTAATAATTATTCATAACAGCAATGATCTACTTAGACAAAATCAATTTAAGTTCTTCTCAAATCGTTTAGGGGCCAGAGAAGCAGCAACATTCCGATATCGGGGCCAATTTTACTCATAAATGCTGACAAATCTTTAAAATCATCTTGTGATCCTCTTGATGAACCCTATTTCGCATACAATGATTCTGCTCCCAACACAATATTTTTTTCAAAAAACTTAGTTATGATGCTTCCATTGTTCCCCTTCAGTTAACCAATTAATGGATTTTGACAGTTAAGCTGACAGTTTGTGAGAATAATCATGACACTGATACATTCAACGAGGATGAAACAGTACTTTTTACAAGATGACGCCCGATTGGATTCTACATTTTAGTAAAAAAAAAAGTTCTTATGAAATTTGTTTAATGACTGAATTACCTTACCATTAAGAACTTCTTTACTTTATAAAAAAATATGTCCATATGTGTATACATATTACGAATACTAAATAGTATTGGTATCTTTTTCTTTTCAATTAAAGTCTGTTTGGCTTACATTATATTCATAATTACGATTTGAATTCCATAGCAATTATTGACAGTCTCAAGTGGATGGATATAGTAACCGTGGTTGTTATAACAATTATATTTCTATAGTTTACCTGGTCCCTTCAAGGCTGTTACAACGATATCCACTATAATACATTATTTCTCTAAGGTTTTTTTTTTTTTGTTGGTATGCCATATCTTCAACACATCCAATGATTGAACCATCATTTTCAAGATTATCTTCTCCTGGTGGAAAAGTAAGCACATCCTTCAGGAAAATAGTAGGAAAGAAAAAAAAAATTATTTGTTAATAACTCAAAAGTATACAATTCATGGGGCTTCATAACCAACTGTTATAATTGAGCAAGGATAAAATATTAATTCCTCCCTTTTATAATGTATTGAAATTATTTATTTTTTCCCTAACTAATATACTATGCAAATTGTTAGCATGAGCCAACTAGTAATGTAATTACTATTTATATAGTTCATTGTACTTTTTGTGAGTTATTTTAAGTAAATGAATAAAATCCTTTTTCCACACCATGTCTTAATTCTTGAAAACTGATTGGCTCCATAATCTTCTGTATGTTTCATAAGTTGTTTCTTGGGCAAGTAACTTATAGGCCTACTGTGACCCGAGCCTGATGGAGGGATTGCCTCCTTTAGAGTTTTCAGGCCAGCTCTCCCATTACTTCACAGAGGAGATTGTTGAGGAGATTGCTGACCTGAGACGATGTTTCATTCCTAAGAATACACGCAGTCAGGCTGTAATGGGACCCTTCTTTACCAGGGCTTGGGACGTGCAGCTATATCTAGCTGGCAAAGTTATATCTTATTTTAGTTATTTAATTTATACTTAAGTTATATCGTACTCGCTTTGTCGGTACATATACTAAAATTGAAACGATACAGAGAAGATTAGCATGGCCCCTGTACAAGGATGACATGCAAAATCGTGAAGCGTTCCACATTTTACTCTGCATTGGAGCACAAAATGTACTGTACGGGAGTCTTTTCTCGATGTTGAACAGCATTTGATAGAGTCTGGCACCCGGGACTGCTGTACAAACTCCGTAAATTTCTACCAGCTACATACTTCCTCATTATCCATTCATACCTTACTGATCGATATTTCAAAGCAAATCATAATAATGCATGTTCATCCCTCTTTTCTAAGTCTGCTGGTGTTCCACAAGGGAGCATCCTCGGTCCTATCCTTTATACAGTTTATACAGCTGATATCCCAACCCATCGCAACACGGTCATCACCACCTATGCAGATGACACTTATATCTTATCTGTTAATAATGACCCTTTAATTGCATTACAAACCCTCCAATCACACATCACAAACCTTGAAGAATGGTATCATAACTGGAGAATAAAAATAAATTCCAATAAATCCCATCAAATTACCTCCACCCTTCGTCGTAAACCTACAACTTCTTGTCCTACAGTATCCTTCTATGATATTCCACTTGTTCCTGTAGAACAAATCCGCTACCTAGGACTCCAACTGGATAAACGTCTCACTTGGAATCCGCTTACTAGACTGAAACGACAAGAAACTGCTCAACGTTTCCGACTGCTCTAACACTTACTACACAAACGCTCTAAACTTTCAATTAATTACAAAAGCCTCATCTACTTAACCATAATAAGACATGTATGTACATACGGAATTGAGCTTTGGGGCTCTATCAAATCATCGAATTCCTATCGTATCCAATCCTTACAATCCAAAATCCTTCGTAAAATCCTTAAGGCCCTATATTTTGTCACAAGTAAAACCATTCATAAAGACCTTAATGTCCCATATGCCGCTGATTTAGCCTGAGTCAGATATCTATCCTTTCATGATAAACTCCAGTCCCATCTGAATCCACTTGTTTCCAGCCTTGCTTCTTCCTCGATTCCTGATAATCTCCCTAGGCGTCTGAAAAGAAGGTGGACTCGTGATCTTCTCACCTAGAGTTAAATAGGGAGTGTTACCACTGGGCAATATCTCTTCAAGTCTGTTCATGTCATGATTTCTAATGTGTGCATTTTTACTAGTTTTATTGTTTATACAGTTGTAAATTTCATTAAATAAATAAATAAATAAAAAGTTATATTAATGTTTGAGTTATTACTTTATACATTATTTTTCATTATTTTAAATATGTTTAATTTTAAAACACTAAAAATTTTTTATTTATTTTTAGTTTGATGGCATTCATGTTGTGAGTGGATCATTGGACACATCAATACGGGTTTGGGAAGTGGAAAGTGGGGTCTGTAAGCATACACTGATGGGCCACCAATCATTGACGTCTGGAATGGAGTTAGATAACAATATTTTAGTTTCAGGTAATGCCGATTCAACTGTTAAGGTCTGGGATATTATCACTGGCCAATGCTTACAAACCCTCTCTGGTAAGTTTTATTTTAGAATTACACTATTAACTTTTATTGACATGAATTTCATTTTTAAAAAATAAAAAGTAGTTCTAACTTGTGTCTATTGAATCCATTTGCATCATTTGACAGAAAAATGTGTAGGTAATTGGTATTATGACTCTTAGGGAAATAATTTACAAATAATGACTGGTTCTTATCACCAAGATTGAAATATTCCATTTATCAAATCTTTAGTTATATTAGCTTATCATCATTAAATAACATTGGTTTAACAATTTTTGTACTATAAAAGACTTATTTACTTCTTGACTATTATAAGATATATTTAGATCTATGGAGTTGAGCTTCAATAAAGGGCTTTAAGGGCTCCAATAAACCATAAAGTTCCTCTTCTATGCAATCCTTATAATCCTAAATCCTCAATGCTCCCAACATTGTTATAAGGTAAATGTACCAGTAATAGACACTTTTGAATTCATGAACAATTAATGAACATTTTTACATCCTTTAGAAATTTTAAGTGCAACTAGGTTTTTAACTGGCGCATTCAGAAAGGTGATGTCTGAACTTAGACTTATTTCATTCTCTAAAACCACATTGGCAGTTTATTTTTTACTAAAACAAGACCAAGTGTTAGTCACAGTGAGACTGCCTTATCACTTTTGTTAAAGGGGTAAGTTTGAAATGGTATGTAGAATTTGGAATAACTTTAATGTATTAGGCAGTGCTTTTCCGTTTCTTTACTAATATAGTGTACAGAATTTGTTTTCACTGTTTTAAATTATATAAAATAACCTGTTATTTCCTAAACTTGGTTGCCAATTACTGGAATAGCATTTAAGCAATAGAGCTAGTAATAAAAACCCATGTCTAATACTGAATCATTTCAGTATTTTAATTTAGTTTTTAACTATTTCATTGATTGGTTATTTGAAATTAATAGATATTAAAAAAGAAAATCTGGTGCATGTAACACACAACTTTCACTTACCGGTCTGCTTTGAATATAAATTATTTTCTGGCAAAGTTGGGTTGTTATAAAATATTTGAAGTGCATTTTTAATGAAGCTACAGCTTAAAGCTTAAAGCTAGCAAATCATTAAGACCATTATAATAACAAAAACCCTATTAATTATATCAATGGTTGACAATTAAAACCTTGGTACTCCATTTGTTTTTGTAAACCACATAACTTCCCTCTGAAGTTATATATAAAGTCTCTGAGCTATATTTCTATGTATATGCCTAGAGATTTGAAAGTGTATTTGTATATTCAATCTATAAATGATTATGGATTGTACGCCTATTAATTATCAAACGTTATTTTCCATTGTAAAGCTTAAAATGAAAATACGAGATTTTCATTGCCTGTCATAGATATGTCTAAAGTTATCACATTAATTTTAAGAAGATAATATTGGGATTTATCAAAGGGAAAATTCATTAAATTATTCACTAATTTAATTTTCTATAAGGTTACATGACGATTTTTTGGAATAAACGGACGTTGATACCCAATTATTTAAATGTAATATCAGATCTAGAATTATTAAACTACAGTAAATGTATTTAAGGTTATAAACGTTTGTTTTTTTATATATCCATGAATCCATGTTTATATTTCACTTCTTCTTTCACACAAGTACAATGAAATAGTTTTTAAACAGTGACATTGCCTTGATAAGGTGGATTTTAAATACTTTTTTCAAACTTTTAAAAGTTTACATTTAGTTTGTAAATTTCATTTAGTTTCCTTGAAAACATGTAATCCGTTAAATAATAATAATATTATAACAATAATAATAATAATAATGCAATAGAGTCAATCCAGCATATTTTGTCGGGATGTCAAGCGTTGGCAGGTAAAGAATATCTGATGAGACACAATAACATGGATAAAATTGTTCACCAAGCCCTGGCCTCATTAAATAATATGACAACAGATGAGGTTCCTTATTATTGACATGAGCCCAAACCGGTGCTTTCAATCTATAATTACAGACCACACGATAGTAAATAACAAACTGGACATTGTATTAATTGATTGGAAGAAACAAATTGGGTATGTCATTGATATAGTGGTCCCAACCGATGATAATATCGGAAAGACTATTTCTGAAAAATTAGGAAATATCAAGATCTGTGCCAAGAGCTAAGACAACTTTACAAACTGAATCAAGTCCAGGTATATCCAATTGTAATTTACAGCAATGGCCTCATCCCAGATGATACCATTCGCTCTGTCGAAAATTCGAAACTGCCAGAGAAAGTGTTGGAAGAAGGGCAAAAAACTGTTCTCCTAGGCACTGCGAACATCGTCAGGAAGTTCTTAAATATAGTTTAATTTTTGAGCCTAACCCTTGATCTTGGTCTGGGTAGGTGAATATTTCTGGCAAAAGCCAAGAAAGTGTGAATTCAAAAATAATAATAATAATTGCAACTCCAATAATCAATCACCTGGATGAAAGAATTAGATGAAGGTTACACTGCCCAGAATTTTGGCGGTCGGATTCGACCGGAAGTGAGAAATGTTGACTATTACAAAACCATATGGAAGGAGAAGGAATCACATGGCAGATTTTAACACCAATTACATGAGCCAGAGATTGACAATGAGCTCTCAATTAAGTCGTTAAAGACAGGACAAATATATGGCGAGACAGGTTTTTTTTATAGCTATTTAGGATCAGGTTATTGCAACCAGGACCTATAGGAAACATATTGAAAAAAATCTGAACATGGATAAGTGTCGGCTTTGCTCGAAGATGCATGAATTTATCCAACATGTTACCAATGGCTACAATAATCTGGCAGGAACGGAATACCTCATGAGGCATAATAATGTCGCAAAAATATACCACCAAAGTATATATAGAAAATTCGGACTACTGGGGAGTGATAAGTTACCCTATTATCGCTATGCCCTAGAAAACTTAATGAAAATAGAAATATAAAAGTTGACTGGGTTCAAAACATAATAACGGACCACAGAGTATTGCATAACCGTCTGGATATCTTGGTTATAAACGAAAGAAATAAAACTGGAGAAATTAAAAATATAGTTGTACCTTGTGATACCAACATGGTAACAATCAGGGGCTAAAAATTATAAAAATATCAAGAACTTGCTTTCGAGTTAAATATGCTATATTACTTCGTAAAAGTGAAGATTACTGCAATAATCATATCTTCTAATGGTTTAATATTGAAAAGCACAGTAAAGGTCAACTTCCCAAGAACTTGGACTTGATTTGGCGCATTTAAAAGTAGCACAAAAAGCAGTCCTGCTTGACACGTGCAGGATTGTCAGAAAGTTTCTAAATAAGTAATTTTTTAAATTTTTACGTTCATCTACATTTCCGCGAATGTTTTTTCTAGGATGTGGATGCTATTCCAGAAATCTGAGAAAGCTAAGACTATAATAATAATAATAATTGGTCTGCAAAGTAAATTATTAAACGATTTGGTGCCATACTATAAATACAGCCCTAAAGGAATATACTAGAAAGATTGTATAGAATTATATTGGAATCAATCGTTTATAACAGACCATCTTGTGACTCTTGACGGTAATATTAAAGTAGCTGAGATTATAGACATTGCTGTGCCAAACAACAGAAACATTAACTCAGTCTGTGCAGAAAAAATTCGGAAGTATCGAGATCTAGCAGCTGTGTTAAAAAGTTTGTATAAACTTAATAAAGTAACCGTTAGGGGCATTGTGATCTCCAGCAATGGGCCTCCCAGCTCGTAATAAATGAAGCTCAGAAAGCTGTGCTGTTGAATACTACCAGAATTGTAAAAAAGCTTTCTCAACATCCAGTAGAAATTAAAATAGAAAATACTTGAGGTGGTTGGAGTTGATTGAAAATATGCTAAACGCAATTTGTAATGTCCATTGTGGTGTCCCAATCGTCTCTCCAGTTAAAAAACATGGTGTGCAATGAATAAATTTATTGTATAAAGCTAAAAGAAAATCATCAATAAACCGAAAAAAGGAGCCTTCAACATTGAGTGGTGATGGAGATTGAATTTTATCGGATTGGATTATTTCAATTGGAAATGCTAGATTCCCAGTTTCAAAAGAAAATGTTTTGGATAGTGTAAAACAACTTATCAAAGAATTGAAAAGGGATAATTTGTTTCCAAATGATTGTCCTGGCCGGAAATAGTTTAATAATTTTTTTCAGAAGAAATACTAGCCAACAGTAAAAGAAATATCAATAACAATACCAATTCCCGATTCCTATTGGCGTCGAAGGGTGAATTTACAAAAATTTCCGTTGGCAGTTTAATGAACTCCTTGAAAATGTTTAGAGAAATTTATAATTAATTATCATATTAATGCATTTGCCTGTTATTAAAAATATATACATTTTTTAAAAATTATTATTTTATTTTGTTATTGTTATAATTTTTTTCCTTTAAAAAAGAGCCTGTCTATAATTGGTACAAAAGAGTGTCTATTACTGGATCTTTGAAAATTTTAAGTGTCTACTTGTACAAAATTATGTATCAGAATTTTCCAATTTTACATGAAAAATGATACAAACTGCCTATCTAGCGCACATATTCGACTAAATTTACTTTCAATTAAATCCATTTGTGAAGATCCACGATCAGAACTAAAGCTGTAGTTCACATTAATGTTGAAAAATTCTCTTAATGTGTCTATTAGTGGTATATTTACCTTGAGTAAAATTATCTATAATGATCTTAATGTTCCATTATGTTACCAATTTAGCCCAATTTATATATCCATATATCACTTTCCATAATAAAATTCAAGCCTATCCAACCCCACTTGTTTCTAACCTTGCATTCTCTCTCATTCCCGACAGTTCTCCTAGGCCTCTGAAAAGAAGGTGTCCTCAGGAATTTCTTATATAGAACTATAGTTCTCACTCCAATTATAATTGGAGTGCTACCAATGGATCGTTTCTCTTCAAGTTGTTCGTGTCATTTTACGAATTAAAATTTACTTGTATTTTTAATTAATACAGTGGTAAATTTCAATAAATATTTAAAAAAAAATATTTTTGGAAGAAATTCTTTAACTTCATCATAATCTATTTCCAAAAGTGTGAATTAACAATTTGATATTAAAAAATTTTAAAATGAAGTTGGCTTGTTTTGGAATTCTCTGCATCTTATTTACTGCAATGATAGATTTTAAATGTATATATCAATTTCTAGATTATTGGAAGTTTTCATGATAAAATTTTGACTACTTTCATGTTTTTTAAAAATATTTACATTTTTAACTCATTCTCGAATAATAATCTTTACCAGTAGCCTACATCAAATATCTTATATAATAGTGGTTTTGAATCAATGTGCAGTTGTGCCATCACCTGACACACACTTAAAAAAAAATAAAATAAAATGTGGTTTTGAAATTTTCTTTAGATAAATTATTGAATAATATTTACTTTAATATGTGTAAATGTGACACCTTTTTAAAATATAGTCATTTTAATTACAAATTTGTGTATTTAATTATCACTTATAAATATTTAAGCTGAAAAATAATTGAATTCTATGAGAAGCTATATATTTTAATTTTTAATGTCTTGCAGGAGTTAACAAGCATCAATCGGCTGTGACATGCCTTCAGTTTAATAATAGATTTGTCATCACTTCATCTGATGATGGAACTGTCAAACTGTGGGATGTTAAGACTGGTAAGCTGCTTATTTCACTAATTTTGTAGATAGTTGTTGTTAAGTACAGTTATAACTTTGTGTATATATATATATATATATATATATATATATATATATATATATATATATATATATATATATGATAATGCAATGGACATAAATAAATACATAATTTCATAATTAATTAATTCAATAATTAAGTAGGAAGTTATTCATTTTTAATTTTATGAAATATATCTAGTATTCAAAAATAAGCTCCATAATCTACATTTCTGTTTTAAACCTTGATAAATTTACTCAATTTTTTATATTTCATAGAAAGTATGAATAAGTAATATAATATAATTTCAGGGGAATTCATTCGCAATCTTGTTTCGCTTGGAAGTGGAGGTAATGGTGGAGTCGTTTGGAGAATCAGGGCGAATGAAACAAAATTAGTGTGTGCTGTTGGATCAAGAAATGGGAATGAAGAAACAAAACTGCTTGTGCTAGATTTCGATGTTGACACCAAGTGAACTTGTTATTGGTTTGAAAAGTGGCCTAATGATGAGAACGACTCCTTGTCATTGATTTTTTTTATTTATTTATTTTTTAAAACTTTCATAAGAAGGTATTTTAACATACTAGCAACAATCTAGTTGCATTTTGTTTTGCCAGTTATTGTTCTGATCCAGAGAGGGTTCAACTGTTAAGTAGCTTTAGTTAAACTTTTGTTTTGTTTTAGAAGTAGAAGTGCTCAGAATATACCGAGTGCTACTTGTACACTGTTCCATGCATAGTGATTCCCTAAATAGCTCCATGTAAAGACACTAAATAAAAATGATTCGTCCTTGAACATGTATTTATGTAATATACAAGTTATATATATATATATATATTCAGTCTATATATAAAATGTATATTAAACATCTTTCTGAGATACATTGTTGTAAAACAATAGAATGATTATATTTTGCTTAGTATTCTACTGAATATTTATTTTTTTATACTGAATCATAATTGTAACTCCTACAAATCTTTCCTATCTTCAGTGAAGGGAGTATTTTGAATTGGTACGTAGTATTTATATTTCATTATGCATTTTGAGATCCTTTCTTGGATCTGATGTGTTTCTTTTTTTCTTTTTAAACATTTGGCCATGACAATATAATTTTTAGGACCTCTTCTTGCCTTCTCAATTCCTTATTGAATTATTCAGTAAGATTTCGATCCAGGTGTTTGTAAATAGGTGAATTTTATTTGTTAAGGATATCAGTTCGGTATTTTGTACCTGTAAATGAACTCTATGCTTATATACTAACGGTATTTAGAATGTTAGGCGATATTATTATTAAGTAATGAAAAAAGTGTTAAGTTATTAATTGTGTAATATAAGGTTACACAGAATTTGTACTAAATCAGGGTATGCTGTTCTCTACCTCCCTTGAAGGATAGCACCTTCGTGCCGCCTCTCGGCTCCTGAGGCCCCTAATTGTGTGTACAGATAAATGATATTTTACAGAATGACTTTAATCATCAAGTGTTTGGTTGTTGATATTTTTAATTTATGTATTATAATACATTAATCTTTACTAATCTGTTTTATTATTATGTCAAGTTCTCTATTTGTGATAATGGATATTGAACTGGTTGATGTATTTCTACATTTGGTTCCTGTCTGTTGTATATAATTGAAAATTCTTAATGTAAACATTTTCCTTTTAGAAATGCCGATTTATTAAAGTTTTTATTTATTTGGTAATCAGATAAATAATATTTGAGATTTTTGGTTTAACTTTTTTTGTATTAATATTAAGTAGATATGAATTATTAAATTTTAACACCTGTTATTCCAACAAATTATTATTATACAATAAATTTATTAGTCAATGTTATTTTTCTTATCACGATATTGCAAATTACGTTATATTTACTGTCTTTATTGTATCTTTATTTGTTTTTTCTTATCAAATCCCATGTTTCTTTTGTTATTATTATTTGTTAATAAGATGTGTATTATTTATAAGATTTTCTTAAGAGAATAGAACTGTTAGGTTTTATTTTCCTATTATGTTGGATACTACCCTGAATAAATTTATTGTTGTATTAATTGTAGACTGAAAGGAAAGGGAATATTGCTCAATAATAAGTTTTTGTAAGGTACGATGTGGAATATCTTGTATAATATTACTTTAATCCTACTATAAGTTTTGTATGATCTTTTGTTCGCAAGACATTTTTGTGTTGAATGTTTTTCGTGTTATATTTCTCATGCATTATACTCACTGTTGATGCAGCATACAGAATATTTTATACTGATAAAGTATTGAACCGAAATTTTATTTTTAATTCAATTATCAATAACCTTTTATTTCTTAGCCTTAGCATTGTTTTGTCCTCCAGAAAAATTCCATGAATTTTTGTTGATTTATTTATTTTATTTTGTTCTTTCATTAGTTTGTAAGATTGAAGGATGAAATATTTATTCTACATATGTGTATATTGGTTTAAAATTTAAAAATTGTCCAAGGGACTACTGTTTTCTTTCACCTTATTATCTCATTAAACTTCAGGTCTTTCTTGAGAAATGACTTAGATGTGACTTAAATAATAATTATTATTTCACTTTGTTTAATTTTTTTACCTGTGAAAATTATTGGAATAAAAAACTAAAGCATTCAAATTGGTTGATATAGTCCAGAATTGTGTACAAAAACTGGGCAATATCTCATGCTATGAAGACAAGGAGGTTAGATGGGCAGAGAATAAATTCAAAGCAATCCTTTAGGAGTCCTCTTTACTACAATGGATACCACAATACTTAGCAAGAGACCACTTGGGAGATTAAAATACAGATGGATGGATAAAATCAACAATGATGCAAAGTTGCATGCTGCTGTTTACTATAATCAGTTGTTTTTTTTTGGTTTAAAGGGCTTATAACTTCTGTGGTTATCATCACGCGTATTCTTCAATTTTCTTTCAATTTAATATTGTTTTAGATATTATTATAAAGTGTTTCATCTTTTTTAAAAATTTGATTACTTAGTTCAGATAACAATCTTCACTTAGAACCTTGGCGAGGGATCTAGGTATAGGGGTTTAAGTTGGCCATTTTCCTGCTATATTTAGAACAGTCTTCAAATATGTGCTTCACTGTGAGTGTTCTTTGACAGTGTGGAGTTGGCTGTATTAATGAGTTTTTATTTAATACATTATAACCCATGGAGTTATGATTATATCCCACTTTGACCCATAGCTGAGATCATGCTCAATCACCAGGCTTCTTCCCTTATTTAATTAGCCATACCCACTTTTTAGAGGTAAGATCTGTCAGACTTTCTCTTTCCCCCTCTCAGAATGAACTTAAAAATACCTTTCAAATTAAACTGTGCTTTTATTGATATAAATTGTTTCCCTTTTTTTCACTCCCAACCTTTTCCTAAAAAAGGTACTTTTTACCAAAATAAACCCTGATTACCATAATCACTCTATTACAATGTGAATTTCTCTAACAATCTAAGTGGTTAAGTAGATATGGTCTTCTCCGCCCATTCCAGAAAGTCTGGTGTACAAACTCCTTTTCGTCAAATTATTAGCATATGCTAAAACTTGTTGAATGGCTTAATTTTATCATAGCTTAGAGCATTCTCGGAAATAGAGTGGATTTTCAATATGAAGATAGGTAAACTTTTATTTAATGAGGCACTAAAAACTTATGAACAATCCCAAAACAAAAAAAAAAAAAATTGTAACCTGTGACCATCATATAAAATTATTTTAAGTTCATTTGTTATGTAGTAGAGTCTCATCAATATAGAATAGATGAGGCAAAGTTTGTATTGTATGGAACTTGCTGTAAAATGTAGAAAAGATAAGTTTTGTGGATTTTTCTCATTAAAACATTTAAAAAAAAAAAATTCTCACTAAAACTTCTATATTCAGCTCGATTTTAATTTTAAAGCTAATTTAAATTTTTGGTCTACCAATTAAGTACAAGTTTAACAAAATATCTGTGATTAAAACTCATTTTATTTAAAATAGAGTACCATAAAATAAATTGGCACATCAAGATAATGTAACATTACATAGAACATGTTATTTTACCATTATATCATAATACAATGCTCTAGCTTTTGACCTATTACAGAATACAGTTCTCATGGCATTAATAAGGGTTACAAAACCTATATTAAAGACTGGAGTACCTTCTTCTCTATGTCAGAGGGGAAGCTAATTGATGATGAATGGGAAGAAGCTTAAGACAGAATGTACAGATGAACTGGACTACAGAATGTCCGGCGTCACCAATGTAATTTGTGATGATGCAGACAATCCGCCCCAGGGTGCAGCAACTTGACCAGCCCCAAGGTGGACGCCTGCCTTAACTACTCTGAAAAGCAAGGCGATCGTATCAGAGGTGTGGTAGCGACGAGAGGCGCACTGCACTTCGAAATGAGCACAAGGAAAAAGTCAGGATATATTGAAACGAAATGCGCAGCCAAAAACATCCAAAGTATTGGGTATGATTTCATCGTTAAAGAAACAGCCAAGAATCCCTGAGGTATTCCATATAGAGTGGCTATGGACAAAATAACTCCGATGCAGACTATTGCAGCTTTAAAACATGGAGATTCCCTGGCAAACATACTGAAGATGCTGCAAATATCTCAACTTCGTTGAGACGATATACCTAATGAATGACGCCCCAATACAATGAATTTGAAACGTTCATAATATGCGCTGTGGCATGTCCACCTGAAAAGGATTTGTACCCATTATGGGGACATCCATGATGTCAGGATAGAGAATCAGCATTGCTTCACGACTAGACGCCATTAGAAGTGCCGATGCCTTGCTCCAAGTGCGTCATGACGTTGAGGAGAAGGCAGAGAAATATGTCATATTACATTTGTTTGATCCTCCGCATGTGCAAGTGACAAATTGCTAGCTGCTGCATTTTTTCATTTATAGTATAAATCAATGCCTATGTGCGTTATTGCTTAAGATGGCTTTTGATAATTTAGTTAATAATCTTTGTATTTCACTGCTGGGTTCAATCAGTTGGATGTTGGTTGCAATTACATTTGAAATAAACAAATAACGCATATGCAGTCTACAAAATGCCATTCCCGCTTTCCTGCCGCTACATTTTTTTTTCCATTTTGTAGAATTTTTCTATATTCTTTCATAAAATAATCATCAAATTTTGCGAAGCTTTGCGCTATTTACATAGCTTTTTAAAATTATTTCAGAAAATTTATATTAAAATAAAATTTATACTGATATGGAAGACATTGTAGCCCTATTTACATAAACAATTTGCTTCGGAAAAATGCTAAGAAAATGATTTTTTTGGAAAAATATATCATAAATAAAGCATATTTTCTTGACCTGATAACAATTGATAACAACTACCAGTCTTCTCAGAGAAAACAGGGAAGCCGAATAATGTTTTTTGTTTGTTTGGAAAAACTAATGAGGGGAAAATAAATGATATAGTATAGTAAGAATGTCCAGAAAGGGCTTGCATGGA